TATCATAACAAAAATAAAAACCGGTATTCGGTACAAAATGGTATAACGGCCCAGCACTAATCCAGCCTCCTCAAACCCCACCGTCAATCTGACCAATCACGTCTCTTGGGCCATCTCCGCCCACATCGAAACCTCCGCCAATCACGAGTAGGTCCGTCTCCACCCACAGGACAAAACCTACTGCAGAGACCCCTTACTCCCCTGTGGGGATACTTACAATCCCCCTGCTGCATGCCTCGTTGTTGGGGTTGCATCTCTGTGGCTTCAGGAGGCAGGAGGGAAGGTTCTGACTGTTTATGCTCCACACATCAGTTCAGATTACCCAGCCTTCCTGGAGCCTCTGGACAGTGTCCTCCCACATAGACTGATGGAGAAGAGCTGCTTCTGGTTATTGTTTCAAGATGTTCAGAACAATATTTCTTCCAGAGTTGTTATTAAACAAAAATTTGGTCAAACAAATGGACTGGGAGAGATGGAGTAAACTGCAAAAAATGGCAAAGTGGTGGGCGGTAAACGCCGTACACTCATGTAGCTCAAAAATCAAATCAAATTACAAACAAGAAACGGCTCCAGCAGATGAAGACCTCCAGTCTGAGGGACTCACTTTTATTCAAGCTGATTTAGAGGAAAATAAAACCAGCGAGGAAGCTTTTGGATCAGTAAAGTACGAGCTGTTGGACTTGAACTGACCAAACCAGTTCTGTGTCTCCCAAACACAAAATCTCATTGATGAAGTGTGCTCAGTCCCACTGCAACAGGAAGCAGAACGTCCCCGACACGGCCCCCCTAAATGCTCTGAGATTTACCTGCGTGTGAGTTTTGAGGTTAGCTTGGTGAAGAGGTTGGAGGTGGCCCTGGTGCGGGCGTGGGGCAGCGGGCTGGCTTCATGGTGGGACAGGGTGGGTGAAGTGGGTGGTGCAGAGTAGACCAGGGGGCCACGATCCCTTAGCTGCCCCCCGTGAAACGTGCTGCGGATGGTGGAGCCTCGGGTCAGGCGGCATCGATCTGAAGAGGATGAGGAGGAAGCTGCTCCGGCTCCAGAGATGCTGAGCGTGGAGGGAGAAGCTGCAGGCAGGCGGTGGCCCAGAGAGCTGCAGAGAAACAAAACATTCTCACTTCATTAACACATTTGCCTAAAACATATAATGCAACTMTTGTTTTTTATACTTCTATCCTTTTATAATGTCAGCCTAAACCAGTGTTTCTCTGATATTTTTACTGATGTACCCACAGTGGAATATTCTATCAGTCAAATATGCCCTAACCAGAACAAAGGCTGTGTCTAAAATGGCAGCCCGGGTCCTCCGAAGGCCGAATTCGTCGGCTGCATACGTCTCAGRGCCGCGACGAAGGACGTCCAAAACCGAAGACTCCTCCGATGCGGCCGACAAATGCGTCCTTCCTTTTCCTCGAATCAAAGGACAGGTCCGATGGATCCTTCCCGGCCCAGCATATCCCATAATGCATTGCGGCCCGACCAGAATTTTTTTTATGCTAGTAATGGCGGACGAAGCGAGACAAAAGAATACGTTTTAAATAAAAATATGGCGATATAAAATTTTATTTTTTTTAGCAGTTGTAATTCGTTGACGTAAGGACGGGAGGCTAGACCGTCCTAATTCACAGCCTCTTTTTTTCCGGTCTTCCCGGTCTACAAAGGACCCGGGCCACCTCGATCGGGTAGTCTGGGTCCTCCGGAGGACCCGGCCTGTCGTTTTGGACACAGCCAAAGTATGTTTTACAAATTCACTCAGTGTCTTTGCCTAAAATAAAAATCCCTAACAACCAACTGTCTTATGTACAACTGAAGACATTTTCAACTTAGGCTTTTTTGAGAAAGGTTTTGGTGAATTTCCCTCCTGGCCACCGTACTCATCTGAGTGACAGAAAGAAGTGGGGGAAGGGAAGCACTACTCTGTGATACATACAGGAGAAAAACAGACCACACTTTCTCTAGACGTGTTTCCATCCAATTCTAATTCGAATTTTGAGCAAATTTTTAAAATTTCGCAAAAAGGAAAGAACGAATAAATGCGAATCAGACATGTTTCCATCAACTGGCTTGAAGCAAATCAATTACGTCAGACGCATGTGTGTAGTAAACAGGAAGTAAAAGTCGCATCTCAGGAAAATGGAAAGAAGTTATCAGGAACGTGTTGCTACTGTCGGCAAAGTTGTAATTATTCTGTCATATCAACTAGTTTTGGCGATGATACATGCCGTCTGGAGATGTAGAGAAAAAAAATACAATTCTCTTCACGTTACGGGATTAACTGAGACACTGGCTACYTTCACACTGCAGGTCTTAATGCCCAATTCCGATTTTTAGAAAAAAATCCGATCTTTGAATGTAAAGATCTGTGTACATTACATTTTAAATGTGACCTGTATCAGACCCGTGTGTGAACGCTACACAGCACTGATGTGACACGCATGTGCAGTAAGGACGTCCCGTCTCATTTAGCCGGATTGTTTGTTTACAGAGCTAGCATGGATGCTACTATTTACGCGTCAAATCTGAAGTTGTTGTTTAATCAGAGCCGATTAAATAATTATCTGACGCTTATTTAGTTCAGTGTTTATATCTGAACTTGCCTCTGGCCTGGATGCTCCAGTAAAGCTTTTTATTTTTGAACGAACGAGCTGGAAAAAAGTATCGACCGAGTAACTTTAGGATCGATACTCTCCGCGATCCAGGCTGGACGTTACTATCTGCATGGAAAATTAAAAGTAAAAATACGAAGCAACTGGACTTGTGTTTTGGAGCTGTAAACACACGGAGCTACAGATTTAAACAGTGAGA